TTTTTTTTTTTAGGCATTTGGGGTTAAGTGACTTGCCCAGGGTTCACACAGCTATTCCATTCTTTCTTAAAGATACAGTAACAGTATCCAGGCTCTGTGGGAGAGGCTACTAAATTTGGAGTTGCGTATAGAATCATAATGCCCTTTCATCACTTTAGGGTGATGTGTACAACTTACATTTTGAGATCACGGGTTAATATGCACATCTGTGAATTTTCCAAAATAATATTTTGGAGATAAAGTGAAAGCCTACTCTATTATCTGATTTATATAGCTATCATCACTGTATCATAGATTCAGAGCTAGAAGGAGGAAACTTAGAAGCCATGGTCCCTGGAAGATATGAGATCTTTATTTTTCTGGAAGTATAGTATTGAGGAAGGATAACTTCCTTGACAGTCAAGAGATTAGTTTGGTTCCCAGTTATGACACTCATTAGCTAGGTGATCTACTTTTAGGCCTCTTTCTTTCCCTAAGCCTCAATTTTCTGATTTGTAAAATGTGGTTAATAATAGCTACACTATCTACACCCAAGGTTGTTAGGAAGAAGGTTCTTTGTAAACTTTGAAGTGTAACAAAGGCAGGCTACCATGGGAGATTTTCCCATGTAGCTTTGGGTTCCCACAGAGACAAATGAAGGAAAATTCTGTTCATTGGAGAAAGCTTTAGGAAGTCAGATTCTTTTGTAACCTAGTGCCTGCATGTAACTGCAACATGGATAAGAAAGAAAATAGATGGAGATTGCATGGAGAAGGGGAGTTTGGGGGCATTTCTGAGCAGCTACAAGCAGGGAGCCATATGGTGATGGGATAGAAGTGAGAAAATTAGGAACAAGCAGATTGGAGAAACAAATGGCAGGCTGCAGTTGGGAGTGGAGAAACAGAAGGAAAAACACATGGCATCTCTGGATCCAGGACCCCTGGCAAAATCCTAATGAACCTTGAGTCAAAGCGAGAGGCTTCACAGATCTTAGCCTGCTCCCGAAGATAATCAGCTTCATGAGTAAGAAGGGACCAAATTTTTAAATTTTTATCGTCTGGGTCATGAGTTCTGAATAGATTATGTCTCTCTCCACCTATTCTGATGGAACTAGTGGAGAGGAATATGAAATTAAGACTACATTTCTTTTGGGAGTTATTTTATTATTTGAGTTACCCCTGCCATTTACATTGTCTTGGTTAAATAATTTTATTGTTGGTTTGGTGACTTTTTCCTTGATTTGAATCACAAATTATATCGAAAGTCACTTTTAAATGAATGAAATGATTCCTGCCCCATAGTCACCATTGTTACATAAATGTGAGTATTATTCATTTAAAAATGGAGTATTAGATGGAATAAGGCAGAGTAATGAGATCCAATAAGGTCCATTATAAGATACTGGATAAGATAAAATGTAAGATAGCTTACATTTTAAAAACTTTTTTTCACAACAACTCTGTAAGATAAGTATTATTATTACCCTTATTTTATAGAAGAGAAAGGTTTTAGAGGAATTAAGTAACTTGTCTAAGGTCAGCCCCTCTACTTTTAATAATATGACCTATTTCTTTTCAAAGAGATTTAATTTAAGAGATGTAGTCCAATTTGGGGGCATCTTTTATTCACATTAATAAATCTAAGCTGAATAATATTCATTCTGAGTTGCATTATTCTGTACTTTGCATATGCTCTTGGCAGGTTTCCCCTGGAGTGCTGTTGATGGCTTTTCGGTTGATGTGAAAATTGTGGTTATCTTAAAGGTTAAATATATGTGTCTAACTCAAGTGTGACTGTAGCATTTGACCTAATTTAATGGTCATCTCTTCTACTCTGTATTCATCAACAGAAAGTTTTCTTTCCAGTTACTCAGAGTCTGTTAGTAGAAAGCCAAGCATTCTTAGCTAATCTAATTGGTGTTTCCTCTCTTTAAGGAGCAAATGATACAATGACAGGGATTTCAGAAGGCTACCAGTATGAAAACAAAACGGTAGGTAAATAGTTCCCCTCACCTCCCAACCACTTATCAATCAGTTTCTCCCTTACAAATAAATTGAGTACAGGGGATGGTTCCTGAAGAAGCAGCTCATTCAGTAACATCCTCATGGCTTATAGTGACAATGAGCCTCACTGAAAAAGTACTTATTTTTGAGGACTCTCTTGGGAATTTGGAAGATCAAGTTGATTGTCTTAATGCTCGTCACTTTGTAGTTCTTTTTTTAAAAAATTTTTTTTTTTAGTGAGGCAATTGGGGTGAAGTGACTTGCCCAAGGTCACATAGCTAGTACATGTCAAGTGTGGGTCTGAGGCTGGATTTGAACTCAGATCCTCCTGAGTTCAGGGCCAGTGCTCTATCCATTGTGCCACCTAGTTGTCCCAGTTCGTAGTTCTTTAGATTTGTCTTTCTCAGCCTTTTGACACATTTATTTTCCAAGGCGTATAAGAATTTGAGTCTATCCTAATGCCCCCAGAATTCTCTCATCTGATCATATTAGCTACCAGAATATAGCCAGAAGCTCAGAAAGAGTTAAACAAAAGTCACAGAATAGTGAGTAATGCCTCTACATTAAAGCTCATACACTTTACTCATAAGCTCATAGGAGAAACCTCTCAGTCCTTTACCTACAACTCATCTCTACTTTTTATTTTTCATTTAATTCTACTTAGCATGGTTTAGGGCAGCTAGATGGTGCAGTGCCTGGAGTTAGGAAGACCTGAGTTCAAATCTGGACTCATACATTAGCTCTGAGATCCTGGACAAGTCACTTAACCCTGTTTACCTCAGTTTCAATGAGTTGGGGGAGCAAATGGCTAAGTACTTCAGTATCTTTGCCAGGAAAACTCCAAATGAGGACACTAAGAGTTGGCCACAATTGAAATGACTTAAAAACATCAGCAAAAAGCATGGTTTTCAGGTTTCCCAGCTTTTATCAAACTGGGAACAGGAATTTAGAAGGCTGAGTGCATTATTAAGGGATGGAGAAACATTATAACAGTTGATGGTGACAAGACAAAAAAACTACAAAAAAGCAGATAAAAGAACTCAAGAAGCCTAACAGTATAGGACTATTTAATGTAGGGACAAATGTAGGGATACATCTTAATAAGTAAGCCCTGAGACCATTGCAGTACTGTCTAATAATTGATACTTATAAAGATGACCTATAGTCACTAAAGGTTAAATTGTGTTTAGAATGTTTAAAAAGGCAGAGAAATAGGTAACACAGATTTTCATCTAAAATGTTTAAAATGAAGTGTTTGAGGGTAATAAGTGGTGAGCTTCATGAATAAGACTGAATTTTACCATCAAGGTCATGAGTTCTAAATAAACTATGTCTCTTTTCTCCTATTCTGATGGGATTAATGTAGATGTATCCAGAAATTAACTTACAACAATTAAATTCAACAAACATATATTAAATCCCTACTATGCGCAGAACTCTGTTCTAGGGACTAGCTAGGTAGAGTTTAGAAAAGACATAGGCCCTCTCCTCAAAAATTTAAGTCTAATATAAGAATAAATAATCTACACAATTACTAATCAATAGTGTATAATGATGGCCTTGAATCATCAAGAATAAGTTAAATTATTATCTTGTATATTTTATTTAAAGAGGCCAAAAGATTCATTTGGCTGATGAAATCATAGATTTAGAGCTGGAAAGGACCTTAGAAGACATCTAATCCAAACTCCTCCTTTTATAGATGAAGAAACTAAGGCCCAGAGGTATTATCTGACTTGCCCAAAGTCATACAGGTGACAGGCAGAATTTGAACTCAGTGCCTCCAATTCCAGACTCTTTACTCTACCACTCTGTGTCATTCACAAGGCCTGATAGATGACTACAAATGCCTGTTTAAGTGTGTATTCACATACAATTGCACACACTGGTCATGAACTTTTTCTTTTTAAAAAACATTTTAAATTACTATAAATGTGATAAACATCAATAAACACAACATTCCCCTATACAAAAGGACAGGAGGTCTATGTACTATATATAGATTTTTTTATATATTTCAAATTCAACATGGTAGTTTTAATACTGTTCTGCTTGTTTGTGTTTTATTCTGAAGTTTCTTTTCTGTTTATTTTTTTAATGATTCTTTTTAGTATTAACGTCACTCTCTAACAATTCCTCCTCTCCCTCCCGTAAGAGTCCTTCCTTGTAACAAACAAGTATGATCATATAAAAGAAATTCCCATGTTGGTTATGTCTGGAAATATCTGTGTCATTCTATACCACTTGTCCTTTTCTTCTCTGCCAAGAGACCTCCCCTCTTTTCTTTTCTCTCTCTTTTTTTCTGGGGGGGGGGTGGCTAGGCAATGGGGTTAACTGACTTGCCCAAGGTCACACAGCTAGTAAAACTCAAATGTCTGAGGCAGGTTTTGAACTCAGGTCCTTCTGACTCCAGGGCTGGTGCTCTATCTACTACTCCACCTAGCTGCCCCCATTCCCTTCTTTTCTTAACAATGCTCACCACAACTTCTACATTCCATTTCTTTCATCAAAAATTGGGAAAAAGGAGCAAAGAACTCTAAGATATTGTAGGAACATAGGTAGAAAAACAATAGCCCTTTGATTGGGAAGCGATGATTTAGACTCTTTGAGGTCCCATCCAACTCTGTCTTTCTGTGAAAAGTCCTAATGGATGCAATTCTTCTTTGCTATTTCCAGATGAAACTACAGATTAGCAGAGTCCTTGAAACCAAGTACTTTGTAATCATACAATCTAATAGATTTACCACCTTGTCTGGTAACCCCAATCCCCAAGTGTTAAACCCTCATCTTTTGGAAATGCACCAATTATTTTAGGAAAAACACAATTAACACACACTCTTAAATGGTAACCCTGAGCATTGAGAAATTAATGATTTATAAGGCTATTGTGAAATATTCTCAAGAAAAGTGCCATGCACACTCCAGAGAAAATATGAAATGTCCTTCACAGTTCAATAATAATACTGCCACAAATAACAACATAAATACACACACACACACACATTTAACATTGTGTGGGAATATTTCTCCCCCACTATCATTAGCTTAGCTTTGTACCTAAGACCCTTTCACAATCTGATTCTGCTTTCCAGTCTTATCTCCTACTATTTTCTTTTTGTGACCTGTATTCCATAGAGGCTGACCTTGTAGACCTCTTTTGAGTATTTTCAGCACTTTTCTGCATATGTGCCTTTGTTCTTGTCATGTCATTCCTTATTTCTAGTGTATTTCCTTTGTCTTAGCTCCTGCTATGTCTTCATTAGTTGATATCCTTGCCATTCTTTTAGGTCCAGTCAAAATGCTATTTCTTCTATGTAGTCTTTCCTAATTCCCACCATGTCTGACTCCCAGTCAGAAGTGATCCCTTCTTCTTTTGAACTCTCCCAATACTTTGCTTGTACCTCTCTTATATACTATAAAGCACTTAGTATAATGCCTGGTACATAGTAGGCACAGTATAAATGCTTGTTATCCTCTCCTTTCCCCCACCGACTCAGTATTATTTATTTGTGTATATAAGATCTTGGAAACTGGTCCCATCGCTTCCTGATAAATAGAAGGAAAAGAAGTCAAAGCAGTGTCAGATTTTATATTCTTGGGCTCAAAGATCACTGCAGATGGTGACCGCAGCTATGAAATTAAGACACTTGCTCCTTGGAAGGAAAGTTCTGGTTTTAATATTTTGGCCATATAATGAGAAGACAGTACTTATTGGAAAAGACTCTGATACTAGGAAAGATTGAAGGCAAAAGGAAAAGTGTATAGTAGAAGAAGAGATGGATAGATAGTATTATGAAAACAATGAACATGAACGTGGACAGCCTTCAAGAGATAGTGGAGGATAGAAGGGCCTGGTGTGCTGTGGTTCATGGGGTCACAAAGAATTGGACACAACTGAATAACTGAACAACAGCAATCCTAGATTGTAAGCTCTTTAAAGAAAGGGACTTTGTCTTATTTATCTTCATGATCAATGAATATGCAAGATTTAAAAAAAATGTCTACTATATCCCACATACCTATGGCATCACAAGAGAGGAAGTGGACTAACTCTTGGGAAATTTGGTGTGCTTTTTGCAGTGATAATCAGCTTTGGTTATTGGGTGAGTCAGTCCAAGTCTTAAAAAGAGCAATACTTTAGCGTGCTTTTAATTAGGCCATTGATTTTGTTTCTAATTGCCATCCAGTCTCCTTGTATGCCAATTTCACTTACTTACATAACTTTAACTCTTGGTGTTGAGTTCCTTCCTTGACAAATGAGTTAATATTGCTAGTTACCCCTAATCCAATAGTGTCCAGCCTTGCCCATAGTATGTATTTTGACAGCTGTTGGAATTTGATAAATGTCTTCTTAGAAATAACTTAGCAGACATGAGGTTTATAAATTTCAAATTTATGAACTAGAATTTTGGATTTGGAATAACTTTAGAAAAAAATCTTGTTTTCCCTATCCCCACTTATTTTACAGATTTAGGAATATGAGATTAAACAATTCCAATAAACAATTAATAATTATCCTAAGCAATATTTGCTAGATGTTTCACCAATACCTTAATTTTTTTTATCTTTGTATCTCATAGGTCATCCTACATGACCAGTTGGTGGCTACTAATAAGGGAATATACATTGGAGTTGGTGTCTTTGTTGGGGTGCTTCTCATTCTGATTTTACTTGTCTTTGTTTTGAAACGTAAGTCATTTCCAAATTCTTGACAATGATGTGCTCTGAAAAACCTTTAATTCCTAGAAGGACAGCTGATTGGAAGAATAAAAGACTTTGAATTTATATCAAGGATTATATCAAGCCACATGGTATCTTCTACTTTGAGATGGCTCTTTGTAAGTTTGGTGTAAAACTTCTGATAGAATTACTGTTGCGGCATCAAATTTGGAGACTGGTCATAGCCTTTAGTTGAAAATTGGAGAAATCAACTCAATTATTTGAAGAATAATGATAATACTGTACATTATTATGCTATTAATTTTGTTTGCAATTTTATAATTAACTTCTTATGTGGGAGTAGAGTCAAGATGGTAGAGTGAAAGGTCACAAGTGCTAAACTTCTCCCAAAATTTCTTCTACAAAATGACCACAAAAAAGAGAATTCTGAGCAGGGAAAGCAAAGAAAAAGTCATAGCTTAGGAAGACAGAAAAAGAAGCCTGTGGATACTGGAGTGGGGGCTGGCTGAGAGCATGATGCTACAGAAACAGCACCATCTGTGAGTTGTGGCTGCAGTGGCATTGGCAATGGGGAAAAGTGCACAGGCATTTTGCACTATGAGCAGGTTGGATTAATACCAGGAATGGATAACTGGTTCAGTATGAGGAAAATACCAAAAACATCAAAAATCACAAAATTATATAAAAAGATACATTAGAAACTTGACAAAATACAATACCCATTCCCATTAAAAACACCAGAAAGCATAGAAATAAATGGAATTTTTGTTAAAATAATAAATAATAATTATCTAAAACTAAGAGCAAGAATCATCTGAAAAGGGAATGAACTAGAAGACTTACCAATAAGATTAGGGATAAAGCAAAGATGTCCATTATCACTATTATTATTCAATATTATACTCGCTATACTAGTTACAGCAATAATAAATTGAAGTAATAAATAAATATAGGCTATAAGGAAACAAAACTATCACTTTTGCTCAACTAAAATAAGGTTGAAACAATTAACTTTATCTAATTATATAAGATAAACTCACACAAATCATCAGCATTTCTATATGTTACCAATAAAATCCAGAAGTAGGGGATAGAAGGAGAAATCCCATTTAACATAGCTGCAGACAGTAGAAAATACTTGGGAGTTTACCTGCAAAGACACACATAGGAAATATATGAACACAATTATAAAATACTTTTCACACAAAAACAGACCTAAATAATTGAAGAAATATTAATTGTTTGTGTGTAGGCCAATCCAACATAATAATGATGACACTATTAACTAAATTAATTTACTTATCTAGTGCCATACCAGTCAAACTGCCAAAGAATTACTTTATAGAGCTAGAAAAAATAACAAAATTCATCTGGAGGTACAAAAGTTCAAGAATATCAAGGGAATCAATTTATCTATCTATCTATCTATCTATCTATCTATCTATCTATCTATCTATCCATCTATTGAAAGGGGTCTAACTGCAGTATCAGGTATGAAACTATGCTACAAAGTGGTAATAACCAAACAATTTCATACTAGAAAGGAAATAGAGAGGTTGCTCAATAGACTAGATTAGCTGCACAACATACAGAATCAAGTGAGCATGGTAATGTAGTATTTGATAAACTTAAAGATCTCAGGTTACTTTTTGACACAAACTGCTGAGAAAACAGGAAAATAATTATGCAGAAACTAGGCCTAGACCAACATCTCACAGCATATACAAAAGTAAGCTCAAAATGGGTACACAGTTTAGACGTAAAAGGTGATATACGCAAATAAGACAAGCATAAAAAAAAATGCTTGACAAATATACAGAGAGGAAGAATTCCTTACCAAACAAGAGAAAGAGAGATTCATAGGAGGTAAAATGGATAATTTTGGTTACATTAAAAAAAAGTTTTTTACATAAACAAAACCAAAATTAGGAGAAAAACAATTGGAAAAAAAATTATGGTGAATTTCTCTGATAAAGGACTCATTTCTCAAATATACAGGGAACTGAAACAAATTTATAAAAAATAGTCTTTCTCCAATTAATAAATGGTTAAAGAACTTGAACAGGCAGTTTTCAGTAGAAGAAATCAAAACTATTAATAATCATATAAAAATGCTCTCAACCACTAATAATTAGAGAAATAAAAATGAAAACATCTCTGAGGTACCACTTTACACCTAAGAGGTTGACTAAGATGACACAAAAGGAAAATAACAAATGCTGGAGGGGATGTGGGAAAATAAGTACATTAATGCACTGTTGGTGGAGTTATGAACCAGTCCAATCATTCTGGAGAACAATATGGAACTATGCTCAAAGTGCATACTGCTACTAGGTTGATACCCTAAAGAGATTTTTTAAGAAATAGGAAAAGGACTCATATGTACAAAAATATTTATAGCAGCTCTTTTTGCGGTGGCAAAGAACTGGAAATCGAAGCTCATCAACTGGGGAATGACTGAACAAGTTATGGTATATGACTGTGTTGAAATACTACTATGATATAAAAAATGCTGAAGGGGATTGCTTGGAAAAAACCTGGGGAGACCCCTATGAACTGAGGCAAAGTGAAGTGTAGCAAAACCAGGAGAATAAAGTACACAATAACAGCAATGTCATGATGATAAGCAACTGTGACTTAGCTACTCTGATCAATGCAATGATCTATGACAGTTCCAAAGGACTCATAATGAAAAATATTATCCACCTTCAGATTGAGAACTGATAGACTCTTGGGTGCAGATTGAAACATTGTTTCTTTATTCTGCATTATTAACACTTTACATTTAGACAGTCAACAAAATAATAAAAATAAGAATGTTTAGAATGTTTGCTGATTCCATGAATGCTTACATTGAAAGTTTAAAATGTGGTTCCAGCCCATTCCAGCTGTTTCCAACACAATCCTGAATATAAGGCATGTTCTTGTTTTCAAGAAGCTTACAATCATGGGATGTTAATATTAAAAAAGATCTTAAAAATCATCTACTACAAGACTTCTTTTAAATTTTAAAAATTTTCATTAAATGTTTCCCAATTATACTTTCAAAGATTTTTAACATTCATTTTTTTTTTTAAATTTTGAGTTCCAAATTCTCTCCCTTCCTCCAGCCCCTCGCCCACCCATGAAGAAGGTAAGCAACATGATAGCATCATTCATGGGAAGCCTGGAGAAGGAAATGGCAAACCACTCCAGTATCTTTGCCAAGAAAACCCCAAAATGGGGTCAGAGAGAGTTAGACATGACTGAAACAACTGAACAACAACAATAACAACATACATGCAAAATAATGAAAAGGATTTTTATATCAGCAATGCTGCTAAAGAAAACATACAAAAAGGCTTCTTAATCTTTTTGGTGTCATAGACTCCTTTGGTAATCTACAGCCTGTGGATCCCGTCTTAGAATATTCTTTTCAGAAAATAAAATACAAATACAAAGGATTACAAAGGAAGTCAATTACATTGAAATGAAGTTATAGAAATAAAATCAAAAACCAAATCCACAAGCCAACATAAACAAAACAAGCTCATAGACCCCAGGTTAAGAACTCATTCTAATGCCATGTTTTAATTTTTTAGATGAGTGTACTGGAGCTTAGAGAAACAGCTCAAGGCATCAGTGACAAAGCCAGGTCCAAAATGCAAATGAGTCCTGATGCAATTGCAGGAAGATATACCATGAGGGTTTAATCTTGAACTCTTATTTTGTATGCTTTGCTGACATGTTCAATTTTCCACTTCTTGGACTTTGACACCTATTTTCCCCTCCTTTTCCTCCTACTTAGGATATTTCTATAACAGAAAGAATGCACAAACTCTAAGGTAAGCCTCAGGCATTGTTCTGCATACTCATATCTCTCAGTATAGAGTTGCCTCTGGAACAAATGAAACAGCCCATTTTCCTTCTTAATTATTTCTGACAGTTCTATTTTAAGTGAAAATTGAATATCAGTCATGTTTCTTGTTCCTCCTCCCTTCTGTTCACCCCATCCCCCCTCACCTACTGAGTAAATATCCTAACTCATCCCTTGCATGCCTTTTCTCCTACCCACACTTATTTTAGTAATTTTCACTGGCTTCTTCATTTCTCTGGAATGTTGTCAGAACTGTCACAGGATTAACCAAGCAGTTACTGTTTGCTAGAGGGAGTATAATTGAATCTCTTAGCCCACTTGGTGATGGGGTGAGAAATTGAATTAGATGCTCTGATCTCTATAGTTGGTCAAATTGGAATGGCTTAGAGCCAGGTCTCCATAGAGCCAAAATGAGCAGGCATGAGCTTGGCTGTGTGGCTGCAACCGAAGATATTTGGCTGAATGGAGGAATAGGGACCTGTTTGGGTGGATTTGTACCTGGTGCTCTCTTGGAGTGGCTTTCCTGCTAGGTCGGCACGTGTGAGTGATTTTATTCACACGTGGAGGGTTTTAGGGTCTTAAAGCTGCATCTTTGTGGATACAAATAAGTTTCAGGGCCATTGTAATCTCACTTAGACTAAATTTAAGTACCTTCTGGTTAATCAAGATTTTTTTTACTTCTGTTTTGAGTTCAACTTTTTTGAATGGAGGGTGGGGCACAGTCTCCATAGCTGTCAACGCTTCTGCTTCTATTCAGCTTCTGTGTTTAAAAGGTTGTTTTTATTAATTTGAGGGAGAGTTGAGGACATATTTTTGGATTCATCTTGCACTTCCTCCTCCTTCCCAAAATGAACTCACCACATTCTTATTGTATAACATTCTCCCAGTAGAATATAAGCTTCTTGGGGGCAGGTATTATTTCATTTAATCTTTGTATCCCCAGGACCTTTTGTACTGCACCTGGTGATGCCCACAGTAGGTACTTCATACGTGTTCTATCGAACTGCTTATTTTTGAAAAATGTAATAATACTTCTTATTATATCACATTCATTTATGAGTCTGTTCCTTTTTATTAGGACTGAAAAAAGAAATGACAAAATATCCCATGGAATAATGTTTCTTTTTGCTTTTGGAAATATATAACCAACTGTGTCAACTCCTTTGTTTGTTTCTACAAGGGTGTTATTTGTGAGCAGTCCATACGTTTAAATGCCCCTTTTTCCCTTCTACTTTTTTCTTTAGATAGAATATGAAGATTGATATTTTTCAGTCCTCTGACAGTATGTTTACTTGATGATTATTGACCAACAATCTCACTCTTAGAGTATCAAAGATCAAATTAAAATTTATAGCCTAAAAATTGATTTTTAGGACTCCTCACCCTTTTTTCTGCCCCTTTGTCACCATCACTGCAAAAGTGGAAGGAGCCACACAGGATAACAATGTTATGTGGTTGTTTCATGAGTTGTAATAGCAAGAAGATTTTTTTTATTGAGAGGCTAGCTGCTTGGCAATATCATCTTAATTTCCAAGTATATTGTTCTCTTTTCCTTTACCTAGGGAGCCATTTCTTGAGCAAAAAGAAAGAAAGAAATGGAAGTCAGTTCAGGAAAACTAAGTGGGTTGGTTGTTTTCTAACAATCGGTCTCTTTTAGTATCCTTTAAATGCTCTGAGTTTAAAGGGAATTTTCAACTTGGGGTTTTAGGCGGCTTATCTTTTAGATGACTTCCTTGTCACACCAAATCTCTATTCATCATTTACTTTTCTATTTCCATAGTCTGACTTTCTTGGCGAGTAATAAAAATGAAGTTGTAAGGACTGCCACTGAAGATGGCAACCGAGTAGAGGACAATGTCTACACGATTGAAGATAATGTCTACATTGTTGAGGAGGAAAATGCCTACATTATTGAAGAGGAGAATACCTATGTCATGCCAACATGCAATGAGAAACAACAACCCTCCAAAGTTTGACCATAATATCCTCAACTGACAGTTCTGGCCTTTTCCATGTTCATTTCCTTTTAAGCTCATGGATTATTCCTAGGTGTTATCTCTACCTGACAGGAGCAATTGCAACAATAAACGGTGACTCTGGAGATGAAACAACCGACGTGGTACCAAACAATGACACTTTTGTCAGACTACAAACTATGCCAGAAAGATGAGAGTTGAATCTGGCACTAATTCTCTTAAGTTATACCATTTTGTGTCATGTGTAGACATAGAGAACTTAGGGTTCTGGAGAGCCACACAATCACTGCAACTTTCAATCAACCAATAAAACAAATAAAAGGGTAGTTTTGTTTTTGTAAATTCCAATTGCCACATTTCTCCTTAAGTTCTTATGTAGGCAGCTGGTTTTATTTCCTCCATGAATTCAATTTCTTTAGCACAGGTAGATCCAGTTCTCCTTCTTGGCTTTTGCAAATGTGGCTTGATGCCAACTTATTTTCTGGGAACTCAGAGAGCTCATTTCCATAGTTACAGGAAACTAGAGTGCCTTTCATAGCTTATGCTACAATGTGTGCAAAGTTCTATTAATAGGCAGTGGATATAGCTTGGGACTGAGAACATGAATTCAAGGTAGAGAAACTGCAACTGTCTTGGCCTCCTGCTACCACAAACTGACATAAGACACATAAGTCTGAGCCATGGAAGGAAAAGTTACCTTGAAAAACTGCAGTGAATGAGGCGTCCAATAGGATAGGTCTTTTAGAAAGAAAAGAGGCTGTTGCTGTTTGAGGGTATTACTACTTTAGAATGACAATCTCTTTCTATCTTTCCCTAGCAAATTTGATCTTAAAATGTAATGATTAATGGGAAAAGACCAGAGGTTTTTTTATTTTTATGTTTCTTTTGGGGGGTAACTGATATTATGGACAGCCTGCTATCCCTTCCTCAAAAGTTCAGTTAGACTTTTTGGTTCACTGGGGTAAATTTGTACAGTAGGAAAAATGGATCCAGGGAACAACAAATATATTATTATGGTTGTTGTGACCAATGGTTTCAAATGAGAACTAATTTTTCTTTGTAGTATTTAGGACATTTGAAAGCTGAGATCACCTGCTAAGGTACCTGTGTTGTTAATATAATGTACAATGACTTTCCATTCTAAATAGTATCTTGCAATGTTTGGTTGTCCTAATTTTAAACTGGAAATTTGTAGCAACTTTTGGAAGAGATTTCAGTGGTGACGACAGCTCCATTACTAAAGGGAACCAGCTTTAAGATTCTAAGGATGGCCAAGATATGACTGATCCAAAAATGGTGCTAATAGAAGGATTACAGGATGAGGGAATCAGACCCCAGCTATGTCACTAATTAGGTACATAATCATAATAAAGTTAGCCTTTACTTCAGTTTTCTCAGTTCTCAAATGGGTAAAACTACCCTGACCGCCTCAGTGTCATTGTGATTGATCAATGGGGATAACAGCTGTGAATACCCTTGAAAAAGTAAGCACTCTGCAAATGCAAGGTATTATCGTCCTTACCATTATTGTTTGGGACCATAAGTTTATGTGGAGGCTATCATGAGCAGTATGAACAGATCACATGCCCAACTAAGTTAGATAGTGATGATGATGACGATGACAGTGGTCTCATAAAGCTAACTTGCTGCTGTAGCTTATTTGTACTTAACAATGCCTTTTTTAGAAATTACTTTTGCTCCATGGACCAAGAGGGGAAAAAAAAATCTGTTGAACAACTTTTCTTTTCTTTGGCAATGGGGTTAAATGACTTGCCTAGGGTCAGACAGCTAGTGAGTGTCAAGTATCTGAGGCCACATTTGAACTCAGGTCCTCCTGCCTCCAGGGCCAGTGCTCTATCCACTGCACTACCTAGCTGTCACCAGACCAACTTTTCTTTGAGTCAAAAACATGTTTCATGATTTGACAGTCTTTTTTGAATGAAATATTTGCAAAGAAGAAAATTATAAATTGTGATATTTAGATTCATGACATTTCACAAGTCTATAGCCTCTTTAGCTAGTTTGAGACAGCATATTATTTGGAGTTATCAGTGTCTTTGTCTTTAAATTTAAGTGTCTCTTTGAAAATGAGCTGCTCTTGTCTTTTTCTGAAGGGTATAGATCGTACTGAATAGTTTTTTAAAATTACGTGCTGTAATGCATTCTGTGAATAGGGTATTTGAGTCCCATTATGGTCGTAAAACAAAAATAAAGTTTTCCTTTGAAAGAGTGGCTTGTTTACTTAATTTATGAATAGTGTACACAGTTAAACCATAACATTGTAATATTCCCTCACTAAACGTTCTCTTAATGTTGTATGGGTGTAAGTAACTATAATGCAAGATAGCAAAAGGATCACAATATAATTATTACTAAGTTAAAATCTAAGTAGAAATTGTGAAGAGAAGTTCTATACTGTAAGTAGACTGACAATCCAATTTGTTTGGTAGACTATGTGAGAATATCTGAGTCTCAGGTATCGAAACCTAGCATTTTTATTAGAAAGTTAGAAGGTTAATAACAAACCCTATAGGTAAGTTAGAATACATTGTTACATGAATATCTAGAATGTATCATTTTTTTTCTATTACTCAAAACAGCTAGGTTCCCTCCTAGGGGGGCACTGGACCAATCCAGGGGGGTGGCAATAGCCTCAGGTACAATTTGGGGGCATTGAATAAAAATAAGGGGGCAGTGGAACCATAAAGAAAGAGAAGATAAGAAAATTTTGAAAAATCGTTCGTCTATGTTTCATCTGTTGTGTAACAGAGTTAAAATCATAGTGATTACATTATTTTCTAAATAAACACACAAAATGCTAATTATAACTGATCAGTGGTCAAGTCCACTGACAGATCTTAACAAGCAAGTGTTGGCAGGCAAGCATATTGCACATTGTTGGGAAGTCCAGCATGCATTAGCAGGAACATGTGAGTGTAAAGACTTGTTTACAATATGATACTATATGGTTACATGAAATTTCAATGAAGGACCTCCCCCTCCTACATGCACACATATTTGCAATAAATTATTAAATTTAAGATGTCATTTAAAAATATTTTATAGTTTTTTGAAATGATAGAAATTAAAAAAAATATTAAAGGGTCAAAGAAGGCAGATTTCCAGGGTGTTCTGAGTAATTTTTTTTTTAAAGAGGGTGATAGGCCAAATACGTTTTGGAACCGCTGAATGAATATTTCTAGTTAAAAGAAGGAAATTTTAGGACCTTTCAACAAGATGCCAAGATAAAATGGTATTTAAAGAAGTTTCCCCTTGAGGTTAGATTGAGAAAGTAGTTAGAAGACTCCAGTCCCAGATATTAAAACAAAAAATTATCATTAAGAAACTAAATAGCTAACAAGAGATGATGTATTAGAGATAATGTAACATCAATAGGACATATAGTTTGTACCAATTTGATTTTTTACCTAAATAGCTAGATGAATCTATTTCTATGTAAAGTAAGGGTGTCTCAAAAATAATAGTATACTTTTAAGCTTTCTTAACTTAACACTGCTGGTTTACTTACTAGTGATACTCTACTATTGATTACTTACTAGTAATAAAAACTTACTAGTAGTAATATCAGTGGCATCCTACTGAGTGTCTAACATTGTAGCTATTTGCTACTGATACATCCAAAGAAACTCTCTGTAAAGTAACATACAGTGTCAAGTTCTAACTGTGTTCTCCTTAAGTCTTTCATTTCTGGGCTATAATATACAGGGTATTCTAAAAAAAAAAATCTCTGTGCAGTTTTATTGACTATAACAATAATGTTGCATAATGATAATATTTAATAGTTTAAAACTGCAATAAGACTTTTGGTACACTCTATAGTAGAGACTACAAACAAGTGACTTAAGGAAAACACAGGCAGACCATGACAGTGTACATTTCTCTGGTGAGAGTTCCTCTTGATGTATTGATGCAAGTTGCTAGTTGCTAAATGCAAGTTGGTTTTACTGGATACTCAACAGATCCTTCCAATAGTACTACTTGTAGGTTTTTTATTACCAATAAGTAATTATGGCTATTGTGTTTGATAGCTAACTAGAAATAATCTGTATTACCTATGATGTATATGTGCAAGTCGATCAATTTGATCTGGTTTGGTATAATTCTACATGGCTAGATTAATCTACTGTTAGAGTGTTCTACTTAACATTGGAATGACATCTTAAAATCTGCAAAGCCTTGTTTGCAAATTTTCCTTAAGTAGAATGCAGTTATGTATGCACTCAAGATACCCTTAGTTCCAGCAGAAGGTATCTTGGGATGCTGGATTAAGATGAATGGTTAAAATTACTTGAATCCTATATTGTAAAAATGCAATATCTTTGTTGGGAAGCTATCAATATATTGAAACATATAGCGAAAATGTTTGAATCCTAAATGTAGATACATGATTAAGAAATTATGTTAGATTACAATTTCCTCTAGATTCCACCAATTTGTTTCTATTACTCTAAATAGCTATTTCTATCCAGTGCAGTGGTCAACTAGAACCTTTGAATAAGATACTTAAGGATATTACAATTATACCTGACATTTTACTAATTTCTTCAGCAGAATTCCTCTTGAGCTATATTGATGCAAGTAGCCAGACTACTGAATATTCAGCAGCAGGAAACTAATATTTCTACAAGTGACGTAGCTAACTAGAAAACATGAACAAACTATGAAGTGCACATTGTAAATGGGCTAACTGGATTATTCCAAATTGTTCAGTATGGTTTCACATAGCAGGATGAATCTATTCTTTGCCAGCAAATATTAGAATCTCCAATCAAGGAGAGTAGAATTAAATAATCACTGGCAACTAGGTGGTGTGGTGGATAGAATGGTGAACCTGGAGTCAGGAGGATCTGAGTTCAAATGTAGCATCAGATACTTATTAGCTCTGTGACCCTAGGCAAGTCACTTAACCTTTCTCTACCTTAGTTTCTCCATATGTAAAATGGGAACAATAATAATATCTACCTGCAATGATAAATTGCAATAAATTACAGCATTATTAAAGTACTTTGCAATACTTAAAGTGCTAAATAAATGCTGGGTGTTATTGTTATTATTATTCATTGTATTGTTCTTAGTCTTAGCAGAAGGTTCTTCTAGCTAGACTATTTAAGTCACAATATTGCTATTAGGAAGCTAGGTAGCTTATAAATCATGCTAGAGGAAAACGCTGTGAAAAGAGCCTCTAGATCGCAACATTTTGTTTTCTATTCCTCTCAATAGCTACCTGGATCTATTTCTACCTAAAGTAGTGATATTTTAGAACTTAAAACTTAAAGTATCTTTGCTTTATTGAATAAAGTTAGAACTGACAATGAACCAGTTCTCGTGGTAGAGTTCCTCCTGTTTTTCTATTAATGCAAATAGCCTGGATACTGGTAGATATCATTAGATTTCTCGGTTGGTATGTTTTACTATTTATATTAAATGTCTAACTCTAGTCTACTTAACTGTCTTGTTCTAGTATTTCACTCTTTTAGTTAGATTTTATTCTAGAGCAGTTTCTATTTAGAGTAATATAAATTTAATTGGCATAGTCTAGAGGTTCTTTTGACAATGCATTGTCTATCTTACGTACATTTTTTCTTACTCAATTTCTAGCTTCCTAATAGCAATATAGAGTTTCTGCATTTAGGATTCAAGTATTCTAACTATATGTTAGACAATCCTACAACAAGAGAAACTTTTGTTTTTGGACTTGTGAAATGTGAATGTTTAACTATTCTACTTAAGTTTGTTTTCTCTCTCTCTCTCTTTTTTGGCGAGACAATGGGGTAAAGTGACTTGCCCAGGGTTACATAGCTAGTAAATGTCAAGTGTCTGAGGCCAGATTTGAACTCAGGTCTTCCTGAATCCAGGGCAGTGCTCTATCATCTGTGCCATCTAGCTGCCCCTCTACTTAAGTTTTTTGTTTGTCCATTCTGATATTTTACTTCATTAGCATGAAACAGATTTCTCCAGCCATTAACAATTCATCATATTGACCTTTCCAAGTGATGAAATGTATTTACCTTTCTCTGTTTCTCTTGATTCCTGCATTCAAAGATTTTGTTTACTTCTTACCATTTCATTAAGAATGTTTGGAATTAATTTCTTCACAATCTCATTTTATTCTTTGTAGCATTATACTCAATTTTTCCTGGAATAGATTATTCTTTGTTGCATTTATCTTTTGCCTATTGGAGTAACACATTCTAATCTCTCTTCTCCTTTACTGTAGCAGCTAACTATTCTTATGTGAACCTGACTGTGCCTCCTTGGTACCTGAACTCTTTCTATTTGTCTACTTGTACTATTTTTTCTTTGGCCTGGAAGCTATGCATTTTGACTGTGATATTCTTGGGAGTTTTCATTTGGAGATTACTCCTAACAAGTAACTGGTTTACTGTTTCCTTATTTTCATTTTGCACTCTAATTCTAATAGATCCAGGCAATTTTCATCTCTGATTTGTTGATGTATGGTTTACAAACTTTTTTGGTCATGACTTTGGATGCAGTTTTCATCAAATTTGACCATGATTTGGCCGTTTTGACTTATGATTCTAAAATTATCTCTCCTTGCCCTGTTTTACATTAAAAAATAGTAGATCCTTTATATTTTGTTTTCCCCAATCTTTTGATTTTGCTTTAACTTTTCTTGTTTCATGGAGTCATTGCTTTCTATTTGGCCCATTTTGAGCTTCAAGGATTTCAGTTCTCAGGTAAGGCTTATCACTATGTGTTTTAAGCTATTAATTCTTGCCATTTTTTTTGTTCCCTAGTTACT